AAAGTACAAAGACAATGTTGAACAACATCACATAACAAAAACATATCAAATTTGCATGCTTTTTGCGACAACTTTGAACAATTCCTAATAACATCAAAACCCAACAAATCAGTTTCTCAGCTGTTTAAATTCATAAAAAAATCTCTAAACTAAAAAATAAAACTAATAAAAACAACAAAAACTCGTTTCCATCCAAAACAACATGCAAAAATAAAATATCGTATAAAAACACATCCACAACAACATGTAGAACTTCCAACCACAACACCCAAAAACTTATTCAACAATGAAATGAAAATACTGACAATCAAACCCAAAAGAAAACAAAATTCCACATTCAATGACAAAATAAAAAAAAATTGTACCAAAAAATAGCTCCAAAAAAAAAAAACAAAAAACAAAGAAAAAGGAAACCACAAACTCACCGAAAAAATGAAAAGTACCTTAGATGATTAAACAGAAAGAGGTAAAGAGAAAGAGACATAACAAAAACAGATTAAATAGAAAGAGAAGCTTTGAAAATAAAAAGCAAAAACACCTGTCAAAAACATAAAGAATAAAATCAAAAGCTGTCTTAAAAAATCACATGACTTTCCACTAAAATTAAAGAGCAACAACAAAAAGGAAAAAAAAAAAAAAAAGACAGGTGGTACCTTAAAAACTCTTAAAGGGTTCTTTTTATATATGGTATATAGATTATAGATTTAGCTTTGATTTAATTTAAATTTTAAAAGATAATATTCAATCTAAATTTATTCATTCACTTTCTAAAAAAAAAAAAATTCAATTCATTCAACTATGCAATTGAGCTTATACCACAAATATAATTAGATTGAATGTTGTTAACAATGAATTTGTTTGTTAATAAAGTATTAGACTCTTAATTTATCATTTATATATTAACTAAAAGTTCATTTTAATATTTAATCAAGCTTTTATCCAAAATTGTGAAACAAGTTGAGCACTATAATTTTGTAAACTTTTTTTTTTATCCATTCATCAATTACTTACAATACACACACACACACACAAAGTAATAGTTTAAATCACAATTTTTAATTTAATTCAACTTACCATAAATATTTATAATTAAAATATCATAAAAGATCATTATAAATTAAAGTTTTCAAAATTAATTTTTTTTAATAAAAAAGACTAAAGCAAAAAGATAGAGATTACATGTATTTAAATTTGAATTTCAAATCTAATAAATATAATTTCTATATGAATCAATTGAATTAAATTTTGAGTTCAATTTAACTTGTTCAATTATGAATTTATGACATCAAATTTTTTTGTCACACTACAAATTTTATGCAATTAAGAAATAATTTTTGATAAAGTGGCAAAAATACTGTTACATTAAATTTATGCTAACCAATGTGATTAGGATACAAGGAATCATAAATCATAAATAAATTCATGTAAGCCCCAAGCTATACAAAAAGATTTTTATTAATATGGTCATGTTGGAATATTTTTTAATCCTCAAGCTAACAATCACTTTAATATAACTTGCTACTTATATGGAAGACTCTTCTATAAGTTTCTATATAATCTTTTGTTTCTCTTCTTTCACACTTGGTAGTCTAAGCACTCCAATTAATCTTTAAACTAATAATAATAAAAAATTTTACCTGTAACCTTCTTATTGTCCATTTCAATGCCTTTTCACAAGCCCAACTATTTAGGATTCATTTGGATGCAAGACCTTCCTTTTTTGTCCATGACAATTCTCTTAATGGATTTAGAACGTAATGGTCAATCAAGTTGCATGATGACCTGAATTTTCAGAGGCCATTGGAGCTTAATCACTCTCATAGCTTTTCAGAAAAACCATGTTGAACACCAATACTAAATGACAGTCGCAATTAAGGTCATTTAGTTAAATTCATGCCCGAATGTAAGAAACGCAAGAACTTTATTTCTATATAAATGGCAATTAAGGTCATTTAGTTAAATTCAAGCAATAATGTCATTCAGCACTTACCACATAAATGTCAATTAGCATATGTACGACTTACATAGAGAATTTAGCCTAACAAGAACTTTATTTCTTCAATCTTTGCTCAAAATCTCTGAAACCCCTGAATTAGTAACATCAGCAAGAACCCCCATTTGCTACATTATATATTCATGCGGATGCAGAAGGAGCCCATTACAAAGATTGAAGCCATACCAAATCTCAGAAGGTATAAAGGTGTTGTAATAAAATGTGGCAGACCTGGTATAATAGCCGTAGACACTCACGCTCTGGTTTCCAACCATCATATCCACTCCTGTAGAGGTACAGATAGCAAACTTGGTGTGTGCAAGGACCCTTTATCTGAAATGTATCAGTAGAACACCTCTCAAACGTCCTTGAATGTAGATCACCCAACCTTGCTGCATACACCTAATCATTCAAACAACACTCCTTTAACTAAACCTCTTCTACCAATTTCATGATTCTCCTAAAAAGGGTCTAATCTGATCATTCAAACACACATGATTTCCATGAGCATCCCCGAATGCAAGACTAATGTGATCTCGTATATAGGAAGTGGAAGAATAGCTTGTCCTTATTGACACAGTGTAAGAGCAGCTCCCCACATTCTGTGAATGAAGCAATGTAAAAGACTTATTCTTGGAGTTAAAACAAAATAATCAAGAAAAACTGACGCTACCTGTCCTTTTCCTCACACTTTGATCTGGGAAAATTTCATGAACAGGCAATTTGTAACACTGAAGTTTCATAGCAAGATTTGCTCAAAGAAACTCTCAATAAAACAATCTTACACTGAAAGACGTTTTAAGGCATGTGTGGATGTTAATTACTTGTGAAATGATATGTCTGGAATCAGTTGGAGATCAATCATACCTGGGTAGCATGGACCTTGAAGGATCTGAGAGGCTGAGCCAGTGGGAGGATTGTCTTAGAATCTGCTAAGGCGAAGAAGATGAAAGTAAAAGGGCGCAAAAAGGTCACTGCTCTCATCATCTTCCCATAGACAAGTTTTGTTGAGGAAGAGAAAATCTAATATCTGGGAAGCCATGTCTAACTGGATTGCTTTATACTACTAACTGAGTTTTCAAGTAATAAAGGGTAGATAAGTCTTTGGTATAAAAGAATTATTATCATAACATGGTACTAGTCTAAACTTTTAATTGACTTTCATTCAATAATCCACAGAAAGGCTTTTAAGCAAAAGAAAATTTCAAAAGAGAAGGAGAAATGATCCCAACTCATTGACTCATTCTTGCAGATGTTGTCTTTCTTGTTTATCTTATGAATCTATTTGGCACTCATTCTTGTACAGATGTTTTCATTCATGTTTGTCTTATGAATCTATTTGGCATACTTATTTTCATTTTTTTCACATAAGAAACCACAATATAAGAATATGAAAATTTGTATAAACCACACTTGAGAATAAAAAAAAAAATTACATGAAATTTGAGTCTTGGATTTATTAAACGTCGACTCCTAATAAAAGTTGTATGAACCAACTGAATTAATTCCTTAATTCTACATACTGTCTTCACTTGTAGGTGGATAGGCATGTTTTTCCATTTTTATTTTTGCCATCCCATTTTCTTGTTTTCTTTTTCCCCTCTTCTGGGTGTAAAGATTTAAGAAGACTTCTTAATATCTCCATTAAAATTCCTTAATACAACTCAAATTCAAAATATTTCTTCTAATATCATCCCATCTCTTTCCAATTAATAAGTTAAAACCAGGAGTCTGAGATAAGCTGGGCTTCACAACAGTGTAGAACCAAAAATCATTCAGTGCATAGAAACCCAATTTGATCATTCAGAGTTTAACTGAGTCTAGTGTAGAATGCTTAAAAAAACAGTTCTGCTGCATCAATGGTGAATAGAAAATGTACCGCAATTTCAAAGAGCATTAAGGCTTCTAAACAACATATCGGTAACCCCGAATCCCTAGTCCATGTTAACTCAATGCACAATCAGTTTCTAAAAGCACAGAAAAAGCTACAAAGTTACTCACTCCTTGTTTTACTAGTGAGTCATTATTTTTGTGAAAGTCACTAGTAACACATGTTAAACAAGTATTAGTTCCCTATAAAACCAAAGGCTGAGAATTGAGAGGCAGGAGTTTAACATTGTCCTTCTTCATTCTCACCCGTTGATCATCCATCCAACATCACTAGATATTTTACCTCAAAAACTCCCAAATTTAGATCATCTGAAAGCGGAAAAGTAACTGGCCAAAAGAAAATTTCAAAAAGGTACAATCAAATCAATTTAACTTAGGGTCTATTTGAATGAATGATGAAATTAGTTTCAGTGAGATTGAAAATGAGATTAAGTACTGTAACGATGTAACAGTGAGTTTAAAATCAATGATAAGGATATATGTTTGAATACAAACACAGTAATGATGGTGAGATTGGCTATGGTAATTGACTGCTATAATTGAAAACTGCCTTTTATTTTCAATTTTTCACTAATGCAATTGACTTACCTGGGCACCCCACCCTTAAACAAAGGATCATAGCGAGTTCTTAACTCATTACTGTTGTGGGGGAATGCAAACAACCTCTTATGCACTGAAGGCTAACTGAAGAAAGTGGAAGAGACAGCAAAAGCATTACCAGATATCTTCTTTCTATGTTTTGCATGTCCTTATATGATTCTATCTATCCAAAGCCATGAATAAAAAATATAGCAGCTATGAAACTTTTGAATTTTGACCTACAACATAAGCAGGCTAGGCAACTCCTAAACAGTGCAGAAGCAAGCATATTCCTATCCACCATAAGACTATCAATCATCTTTCTATTGAGCATTATGCTACATTGGTTGAAGAGGGCCATTGCTCTATTAGTCGAAAAGGACCATCTCTCTGAGGCCCCATTCATCATCAAAGATCAGTTCACAATCAATGAAACACTCAACCATTTTATTATTATCACATCAAAGTGAACAGACAAGTAACAACAAATAAATGCAATGCAAAATATATATATATATATATTTATATTCAACTCAAACTATAAATAACATTCATCAATGACGATTTTTCAAACTCAGCAAAATCATATCAGAAATTGCATCAAGAAAAAGTAAAACTAAAAATCCAACCATTTCTTGTAATAAACACAGGTCTTGGGAGAAATTATGCCATCAGGGGTACAATGACTTATCTGTGGACAAACACCACAAGGAATGGAAGCCATGGCACCAAACTTGGGTTCTCCTCCATACCCTCTCTTACCAATGCATTTATAACAAACTTTCCCAACCGGAATTGAAGCAAACTCCCCTGTTCCACTGCTTTTCACTTCCATAACCTCATTATCCAAAACCAAAGCCTTGACAATCTCTTCAACCTGCTGTTTCGACAACTCAATTTGTGAAACATTACTCCTCTTAATAGCATCCGTAACCCCTTCCAATGTAGCAACCTTCAACCCATAAATCTTCCTCCAACACTGCTCTTTCAAAACATTTATATACTCCGTATCGAGGCTGCCTTCAACATACCATGCCCCACCCGTTATTTCATTGGAAGGCTCAAACTCCACGGAGATAAAATGCTTCCTACCCCGGCTTTGGATGTTTTTCACTTCTTTTATGAGATTCTTAGCTAGAAGTGACTTGAGACATTTTGTAACTAGGTTGTCCGGAAGGTTAATTTCTCGTTTCATGTCTCGTTGGGAAATTCCCATGTCTTGTTTACCTTGGATTACATCATGAACAGTACGTTCATGTTCTGTTAGAGAATCGGAAGTTGAGCCCGGTCGTTTCCTTTTCAGAGAATTAGGCCCTTGTAATCGACTCATTCTAATATATAACTAAAATCAAAGAAACAAAACAAATTGATGAATATTAGGATATCATGATAAGTATATATTATGCTAAAAACTTTTGGCAAACTTTCGTCGAAAATAAATTAAATTTCTTCCCGTTTTCTGTCCCTGAATGTTCTTGTTCCTAAGCAACAGAAACCCATTGATTCTAAGAGAAAAGTGGGATGGGAACTGACCTGAGAAAAGAGAGATAAGATCGGTAAAAATGGCGGCTTTGGCTAGGCTTTAAACTGACCTGTGAAAATAACGCAAAGATGAAACCAAAAATAAAAATCAATAATTCGATTTTTCAATAGAAAAAGTGCAAGAGAGAGGAGTGGAGGAAGCGGTTTAATAGAGTGAAAGAGCGAGAAATAGAAGACACAGTCCATCTTCTTTCTTTGGAGCTAAGGCCAGAGGGCTGCCTTTTGGGCTTAAGATCACTGCCACCTTTCATTTTATGAGGCTGCATGTCTGGGCTTTGAACAATCCAATTTCGTAATTTTAGTTTTGCAAGCCACATTGTCTTCTAACGCTCTTAATCCTTGACCTCGATTTAGGCGGAGGAACTCCAACCCTAATAATTTCACAACAAACACATTATTTTTATTCCAAATTTATCAAAATCATGAATGTATATTTTTTAAGGTATGTCTATATTTTTTATGATTTAATTTTATCTTCTAAAGTTGTTATTTATTGAATTCTTATTTTTTTTATTCACATTTCCTAACTATTTTCTTTTTTTTTGTTTGATAGTTTTATCAAGATTTCAACTTAATAAAGGTATGTTAAACCTTTTTATGAGTTAATTTCATATTATAATATTATTTTTAATTGAACTTTTTTGACAAAATTTTTAATCATATTTATATTTTTAGTGTTTTAATTAAGACCATTGTTTAATATAAGCATACCATATTTATATAGATATGATAATTCGTATTTTTATATTATATTTAACATATATAATAACATAAATTATTAAAATATGAGACACGAATTATAAAATATGTTTAAATTTTAAATACAAATTTATTATATATGTTACACATAATACAATATAATTAATATATATATAATTAATACCTTTAAACATGATACAATAAATATTAATAACATTGATATACACGATCGATTATTACTGTTATTCTCGTTTTTCATCCACATTTCTGATTTTTAAAAGGAAAAAAAATTAATTGAATCAACTCAATTCATTCAATTTCAATCTCAATCAAGATCAAGCGTTGAAGAATAAGTAATTTGAAAGTAAAAATAAGTTAAATTTTTTTTGAAAAATTACTGGCTTACTGCAAATTGCTGTTAAAAAAAACAAAAAAAGATTCTGATGACTAACCTGTGACCGAGAGGCCAAGAAGCTATGGGCTACGTGGGTGTCAAAATCAATGGGGAAGAAAAGAGATGGAAGCCAGAAAGCTCAATCAAGAGAGGCCGTGAGGGGAGGATTTTATCAATTTACTGATTTTAGGGCTTGGGTTTTTGTGAAAGAGTTGAGAAGAAGAAGAAGAGTGAAAAAGAAAACAAAGGCTGGACTCTGGAGGAATTGAGGTTGGACTATATAGGCATTGGCACTGAATTGAAGGCTGAGGCAGGAGGATTTGTTGGGGGGGAACCATTCATCTAAAGAACCAAAAGCTAAAACATATTGATGTCTGAAGAAGGAACTATGCCATCTCTATCAGCTAGTGAGCTAGCCGCGAAAGGCAATGAAATTGTAGATGCCCAGAATAGGTTCTTTGACGGATTGGCTTGATGCCATTAGGCCCTTAGATTAGAACACTCAACTGTAAATTTTACAGGTATACTTCTGCGTACTATTGAATGCATATAGTTCACAAAAGAAACTTCTAGCATCCCCATAAACATCACCGACCTCTTGTACTAGATATGAGCAAGTCAAATCTTATGTTGGATAACCCATTTCAACATATCATTGGAATATGTCTATGATTCTTCTAAGGGAACTGAAGAACACCGCCTGCAGTTTGTTCATTTACTGGATAGTAAGATCGATTTTGTCTAATGAAAGGACATTAGCTCCAGCCTCAAGCGGGGTCAATAAATTATCAAGAAAATGACAGTAAAAATAGTAAGAGAGTCAAATTTTCAATGTTTGGATCTGTATGACATGGCATTGATGTGGCATAGCTTGCCCGTTTAAAGAAATAAGTTTAAAATAACACTTAATAAGTAATAAAGATTTTACAGTATGCCACCGTTGGAAAAAACCTCTTGAAAGGAAATAAGAATTTTATGAATTTTATAATACTATAATTATTTTTTAATATATAAATATTATTTTATTTTTTCAATAATTACTTAATTAGCATAATTTATTTGTAAAAAGTCCTAATGACTTATTAAAATTATTGAAAATTATTAAATTAATATATATTTATATGTTATAATATAATTAAAATAAATTATATATTTTAATTATCATGGGTATACTCAAAATTATATATAGATATCATATGATGCGATTTAAATTTTAAAATAAAATATATAAAATAAGTCATTAAGATTAGTATAAATATATACTTTGTATTATAATAATACCTCATCATGTGATATAAAAATATAAATTATGTAATCTCTTATCATTATAGATGCTATTTAGAATAAATATGTTATGTTTAATTTTAAATACATAATTTCTTATCATGTGATTTATAATAAAGTATTTAAAATAGGTCAATAAGATGTGTACTTATAATAATAATTTAAAGTTACATTTTAATAATATTGTATTATGTAATATAGAATAAATTATATAAGTTTTTATCATTATACATATTATTTAGAATATGTATTATTTTCAATTTCAACTGTATAATCTCTTATTTTAACTCTTATAATTTAAAATAATCAACTATCACAATTTATGTTATTAATATTATCATATAGTTTTTTATCATTATAAATGTTATTTATTATCATTATAATATATTATTGTATATTCATGTGATTTGGATTTGATTTACTTGATCAATGATCATATTGATTTGCTTGATCAATGATCATATATTGTTGGATGTTACTTGTTATATTAATAATGTTATTTAGTGCATATTGTCCTTCTAAATTCTTTTTTAATAAAAAAGTTCTTTTAATTTTATTATAAAAAGTTACAAAGAATAATATATGTTTATACATATATTTAATATGTTAAGATTTATATTATTAATATAAAAAAATAATTTTAAAATAATTATTAACTAAGTATCATAATTAAATGTTTATGTGGTACATTAAATAGCTAATTAAATATCATAACTAAAAGATTAAAATTTAAAATAATCTTTATATGTTTGTATTAAATTAAAATAAATATAAAAAATATGCTAAATATTTTTTTATCATGTCTTGTGTTAAACGTATTTTCATATGATATGTTTAATTTAAACATATTTTCATGTGACACATTTTATTTAAATATATTTTCATATCTTATATATGTTTAGTCATGTTAACACATATAAGACACGAATAGTATTATATCAATATTGTGTCAATACAAATAAACATAAAATATGTTTTTTTAAAATATATATATTATTTTTATATTGTATCATTGTATTATATCTGAAATGTTCAAATCTATATATTTACTTTCGTCTTTGAAATTTAATATTTGAACTCATTCTAGTAGGTAATGGAAATCGCATTCCCATCCACTTTGAGTGAAATTGACTCTCCCAATAAACAATTGCACAATTTAGAGATGTCATTGATTCGGCCAGGGTTTAGGTCTATCTTTTCAAGTCTAAGTTTAGGTCCATTATATTATATTATATTATAATTATTTTTGTAAGCGTAATAGTTGGTTTTAAAATAATAAAAGGATATTTAAGAAAATGTAATTTGATAAAAAAAAAAATGTCAGTTTCCCATAATATACAATCTTGTATGAAAATGTGATTCGGTGATTATGTTGAAACTTTCATTGAAGAGAAAAAAAAAAAAAAAACACTTAAAGCAACTTCCAATAACATGTGTCTAGTGGGAAAATTAGCCGAAAATCCTGAATCAATCCCTAAATGAACGCAAAGGTGTTTTGGGGCATTGTTTTCAGCAGCTGGGATCAATTATATCATAGTAGAAATCATGCAAGCATTATAGAAGAAAGATTGAGGAGAAAATTTGATAATTTATAAGTACAGAACATACAATTCAATGATCAAATAAGAAGGCGTATAGAGCAATGGAGCAGCAAATCTCTCCTCTTAAATGTGTTAATCAAGCCATTGATGACAAAAGCCTTTGACTACATATATACACATATATATATGTATATATAATTAAACCAATTATATATTAGCAACTCTTATTTATGGTTATAAATAAAGTCTGAAATGTGATATAATAGCCGCTGTTTAACGATAATGTCACTTACTGCTTTCGTTATTCACCAACGATGGCGGTGTGACTGGTGATCATACTTATAACAGCTATTTATGGTCACAAATAGTGACGTAATAGAAAAAAAAAGCATAGTAACGGGACGTTAAAATCATTGTTTATGTTTTTTTATTAAATAAAATGAAAATACATTCCAAAATGGTAAAAAAATTATGCTCCAAGTCCGAATTATTAAGTCAAAATCTAACAAATTTAAATCTCAATCAAAATAATCATAACAAAGATAATATAAAAATAGAGCTCCAGTAAGGAGCCAACCTTCAAACCACCAAACCTCTTTCATTGCGCTATCGCAATCCTTGAGAAGCAACTTAAGAATCGTGTAATCCCATAAAACAATTGTCAATAGCTTTCGAATCAATCTAATGGAAGTGAGAAAGTTGAAATCACTTGAGGGAGAAACAAATGGGAGGTTAGATAGGGTCGTGGGTGACTTTGTTTTATAATAAAAAAGAAAAGTGAATAAAGAGGGAAAGACAAGAGGGAGGTTAATGTCGGTATAAGATATAAATTGATTTTTATTTTTTATTTTGGCCATTTCTTTCTTTTACTTTTTGAAAAATGGGTATTTGAATTTTTTTATGATTTGGATAAAAATTTAATAGAGTTGTTAGTTGTTAAATAGTGAATTTAATTTTAATTATCCAAAAATAATTTTATAATAAAAATTTAAAGTTATTAAGTATATTTATTATTAATTTTTTATACCTAATATTTTTAGATAAAAAGTTTTATAACAAAAGCAAATGATGATGGGGCATAAGTTTTTTGAAATGTATTGAAGATTTAAAATTTTAAATGAAAATTTTGAAAGAAAAATGAGAGATGATATGTTCAAGTTTGTTTACATGTATCTATATCACAGAATTAGATTTTAATCCATTTACCTTAATAATTATGCTTAAAAATATGTAATTAATGCTCATTATTATTCTTTTTAATTAGATTAATTAATAATATTAATTTCATAATGATAATTTGTTATTAATCATATATATATATTTATAGTGTTTATATTGACAAAATTCATAGATATATTAATGAACAACATTTTAGATATGTATATTGACTTAAAATAAAAAATGCAAAATATTGATTTTAATATATAAATTAAAGAATTAAATTATTTTAAATTATTTTAAATATAATAGGTATGCTTATAATGATTATTTATTTCATTTGATGATAAATTGTTCAAAATTACAAAAAAAAAAATTTACGATAATGATGAGTACGACTATCGTTATTTTATCTATTATGTTTATAATCACAATAAATACAAGACAACAAAAAATGTGACTACCACCATAATTTAAATCCTTATCACTTAAAAGTGTATTAAAAAAAGAGTTTTCAACTGCAAAGCAAAGTCAAGAAAATCACAAACATATATTGACTTTCTTCCACTGATGATTGTCTTCAATGGCAATCGGATTGGCATTAAGGAGCTTTCAACTGCAAAACAAAGTCAAGAAATATATTGACTTTCTTCCTCTGATGATTGTCTCCAATGGCTCAATCGGATTTGCCTTAAGGATCATTCCCGGGAGAGAGACGGTCAAGTATTGCTTCACATCCCTTGATGAGATTGTAAAGCAAATCAGTAGAGAAGAATGGCTGTTGCAGAACCCTTGGCATAGAAAACGAGTAAACAGAACCACCTGTTCGCTTTTTGTGCTTCTTGACAATCTTGATCAAGCCTGTTAAAGTTCATTGTAGCGAAATAAATGTTTAGAAAAAGTTGATCTTGCTTAGTATTTCTAGAGATATACATGATTACAAAGGGTATACCTGCAAAGTTAATGACACTGTAATGGAGCAGCATCACCATCTCTGAATGAAAATCCAAAATTTCCTTCTGCACTTCCAACATTTCTTCATTGTCGTTCAAGTTTTCAGCCCTGATTTCCAGCTCCTGAAATACCCAAAAGACAGCAATTTCTTTCAACCAAAATGAATTTCTGGCACAACAATTACTAAAACAAAGTTTTAATTCATTCTTTTGAAGGGAAAAGATAAAAGAATTAACATTGTACCCTGAATCTGATGACGTAATCTTCCTCTTTGTCAATGAAAAACGTATTGATCTTATCGAGTTCCCTGTCTAATAACAGGATGAAGCCCATGTCATCTGTTGGTAAATTCCCATCTGAAAATTTTCCACTGCCTGATCTTGACCTTTTCTTTCCATTTGAATGGGGGTTTATCAGCTTCACTTTCTTCTTCAACGCTTTGTAAGCCATAAACTTGCGTTCCCATTCAGGCAAGCTTTTTGCCACCTCAGCCCTATGTTTCTTTCCATGTTTCATCTTCTTCTCCCTGTCAAAGTTTCAATGATCGGTGAATAGGCTGAGCAGAAATATATATATATATATATATATATATATAAATATACATAGAAAACCATTATGTTCTTTGGAACCATAGGCATATTCCCATCACCACAACATTTTTTAAACAACAATCCAATAGTTTACCCAAGCAAAGCCTAAGAGATATCATTTGGCTGGAAACTTAGAATCATGAAGATTATTACAAAGTAGATTGTAGAATATTCCTTGATGCCATTGCAAAACTTGTATATTCCATGACACTACTGCAGAATTTGAATATTCCACAATGCACTGCTGCAAATATTTTCTTGTCATACTTATATTATATATATTTTCTCTATAAAAAGAAATCCGGCAGCCTGAAAATAAGAGAAAAAATTATAAATATTAAAATATAAATTATTGGATAATACCTTTTAAGAGTAGCTAAATAAATCGAGTTTTAAATTCTAAATTCTTAATATTCTATTCAATAAAAAGTCTACATCACTTCTTTGTTAAATCCATCGAAAAACCTTGAGATCTTAGCTGGATGCTAAATATTTTCTGTTGTCTCTGACATCATTTGTAAGGATTGTACCGATAAATCCAAGAATGATAAGTGGCATTATCCTAATTAAGGAATAGTGAATCAGCTGGTTGATTGTTTCTAGATTCTTGCCAATATTAATAGGCAAGATTCAAATGAAAATTAGCGTCTCGGAATTGAAAATGTTTGCTGTCTCTGACAAATTTAGCAGGAAGTGAAATCTCAAATCAGGTTTTCTTTATCTTGCATCAGTACAGAAGTTGTCATCAATGTATGCTTTTCATGCAAAGTTTCTCGGAGTAATTCCATGAAAGGGTTAATTTTCTTTGTTTCCGATATCTGAAAGTTTTACTCTAAGAAAACTGATTTTTCAATTTCTAAAAGCTTTTTCATACCATTGGAATTTAGAAACTAAGAAAGCTGCAAAAACTAGCCCTCGGGCTTTCCTTCTACGTTATTATTATTATTTGTTCAGAACAACTTATCCAGAGATTTGGTCCTTCCGATTGCCTGAGATAGTGGAATAATGAATTTTTTTATGATCGTGATCTGTACGAATTAATTTTGAAGTGTTATTGTTAAACTCTATAAATGAAAAGAAAACCAAATATATTTATAAATTATTTGTCAAACACTTTTTTTTTACACATTATTTTGGTTAACAGACTCCTCTCACGTGTGGGCAAAAATAAAAAAAAATTTTCACGCGACAAATTAAAAAAGGTCAACAAAAATTTTTTTTGATTCTGATACTGTATTAAATATTTAATTTAAAATCAATTAGTAATAAGTGAAAAAAACTTTTTATGTGACAAATTAGAATAATGAAAGAAAATTTTGATTCTGATACCATATTAAATATCTAACTTAAAATTAATTAGTAATAAGTGAAGAAACCTTTCTAGAAAATTATGGTTTTGATACCATGTTAAACGTTCAACTTAAAATTAATTAGCAATAAATGAAAAAAGCCTTCCACGTGATAAATTATGAAAGAAACATTCCACGTGACAAATTAGAGTAACGGAAGAAAATCTTAGTTCTGATACTTTGTTAAACATCTAACTTAAAATTAATTAGCAATAAATGGAAGAAGCTTTCCACGTGATAAATTATGAAAGGGTAACAGAAGAAAACTCTGGATATCATGTTAAATATTTAATTTAAAATCAATTAACAATAAATTGAGGAGCTCAACTTAAATATAAAGCTACAAGAAATTGAAAATTTATTAGATGTGGGATAACTCACTTTAAGTATATTAAGCATTTGACTTAAAGCTAATTAGTAGTAAGTGACGGAGCCAACCTGAATATAAAATTACAGGATATTGAATATTTATTAGATGTGAAATAATTCACTTCAATAATTTTTTAAAATCTCTTAGTGTACATAAATGGAATATAAATAAAATTTACTATATTTGTAATCTATTTAATTAATTGATGAACCTTGAAATATTTTTTGTGATCATTAATTTATTAAACTTAATAAACAAATATTAATTAACAATATTCAAATCTATTCACAAATTATTTATCAAATGTTACATTGGTTCAAGTCATAAAAAAAATCTCAAGTAAGGCTATTTCATAGCACTTCATGAAAATGCAAAATGATGTCAATAATTCCCGTTGAGACATTGTAACAATATATTAACATGTGCTACACGAAAAGCAGAGTACTCCAATTTCTTTGGCGGTTATATAATCTCAAGTTATTAAGATAATGAAAATAATAATAATAAAAAATAATGTTTCCAATTTGATTATAACTTCAAATCTAAAAACATTTCATGAAATTGCTATCAATGTGAGAATACCAATCTAACAGTTCCATAAGCTCCAATCAAAATAATGAAAACTATCTGTAATTCAGATTAGGAAGCATGATATCAAAGTCACTCGCATAGTAAATACATACAACATAAGATATATGGTGCATTTGTATAGAGTACAAGACACTGAATTTACTGTCTCCCAATGGGCGGCGATGGCAAGGCACTCTCAGCTCAAAATTCGATAGGAGGTTTTGAAAGTACTAATCTCCTGATCCGATCTTTCTCTGTATTTTCCAGATATCCCTTGAGAATATGGGGGGGGGGTGTGAAGGAAACATCAGTAGCAGTATCAACATGGATAATGAAATAGGATGCTGACTAACATTCAGGAAAAAAAGGCACAGAGATCAGGATTTCAGGCAGTACCGGATTACCGATGGAATTTCAGGTGCTTAATTAGTTGTCACAAGAAAGCTCCATATGCTAAAAGAATTCAAGCTTCTCAATAATCACGGGCAGTGAGAGATCATAATTACTTTTCTTAAGCCTCACTCAAGAGGTGTGTGTCCCAATAAGAAACAAGCTTTGCCACTAGTTTAAGATCAACCAGAAACAAAAGTTCTAAAAAACTGTTCTATCCTTATTTTTGTTCTTCCAATGTTTCTTTTAAATTTCCACAACAATTTTTTTAAAAAATTTGATCCCAGGTGTAGCCGGGCAAATTTTCTAGTATATTTAATCTTGAGAGTACTTATGGGAACTCCTTCAGGCCTTCAGCCAGCCCTATCCTTAAGCATCAAGATTGGCATCCAGGAATTTTGGAAACTGTTCTATCCTATTATAACGATCATCAAACCTACATAACCAGCAGGTGATAATGAAGAGGAAGAAATGCCAAAATTAGTTACAGTGATTCCAATTTGTCACCTTACCTTCCAAATAATTTCATCCAATGACAAGCATATCTTTTCATACTTAATTACTTATCCAGGAAAATGCGCTCTGTTGGTGGCTTTCCACATACATCCTTCACAACTGAGGTTATAACGAAGATCAACTCTGCCATTAGAGCAAAAACATTCAGGAGGTAAATCATAAATAAATTCAAGCATGTAATGCGATGCAGCTCTTGAGACCATAAAGTTGATGCCCTTTCAAATGCACTACAATTATCAAAGGGTTAACTTTCTTTTTTCATTTTTTTTTATTTGGATAGTGTAAGCTATCATTTGAGCAAAAAAAAAAAAGCAATATTCATTTTAATTTACAGACCATAAGAAGGTTCACTCTATGGGCAAAAAGCAAGCTATGTAAACATAACTGAGAAGCACATCCAACTAAGAAGAACACAGAGATTTGTGTGTTTCAAGATAGGGAAAACCCAATTCTTTTTAGTTGCAAATCATTCAAGAAGATTCTTTCAAGGAACCTATGACCCATAGATAACGCTATCTCACCCCAAACAGAATAAAACTACATATTTTTTAATCAAAGAAGTTTCAACTTTGTAGCTTCTTCACCTCTCACCAACATAGGTTGTATGCGTAAAGAAAGCAAGATATACTTACATGCTAGTTCATCATACTCATCCTTGCCAACAACATCGATGCTGACATCTCCGAGCACCATGTAAACAATGTAAACAGACCCGATAAAAAAACACGTTTGTTCAGTTTCGTAAAATGAGATCACTTAGTCAAAATGTAATGCTTTTATCAATTGGATGCTAAAACTCTCAGCAATAAATCATGCAATAACTGTGAATATACCATGTACCACAATATATTATTCACATAGTGAATAATATTAGTAGGCTGTTGGTTTATTTTTTTCCTTAAGTATTTGTTTACAAGGTGAATTCTTTTACTTCAATCAAGTGTATGGTTTGGACAATGATCCATCTACTATCAACAAAGACAAGAACCCATTGCCCTTGATCAGTTAACTCCTGGGATTAAATTAATTTCAGGGTAGAAAAAATAAAATATGTAAGAACTTATCCTCTCCAAAAATAAATCCTCAGATCAAAACAGGCACATGTTAAGGAAATGCTCTCAGCTCACGTTAGCAGGTCTTCCATGTGCTGAGGATTTTCTCGCCTAACTATCAATTTTCTCGCAAGCCGCAAACTTTCTAGCATAACCGCTAATTTTCTTGCTAAAACTGTCAAATTTCCTGCATTGTTGTTTCCATCCATTAGTTTTCTTCCATTATCTATCTTTGATTGGATCATTAAGACTTGTTTCATCCGATTGTGAGTTTGACTGGTGTTTGATCTGATTGTGTATGTCTAGTGCTCCATCTATTTGTGAAATGGTTGGTACGATTCCTGATCCATCTTCTTCTGGTAAGGGTGAGGTAGTGGCCAACTAAGGCCTTGTAACTACCTTTGGGGACAGTGAGCAAAAGAATTCTATGGATTGGAGAAATCTTTTCTTGGCACTGAACAATCAATCTCTGAAATTCTTCCCCCCCCAGATGGTGAATGGCAAAGCATTAGTTAAATCAACAGATGATGTATTTGAAGAAGAAGTGCATCAATGGCAGAATGCTTTGGTGGCCCAGTTCCTTGGACAGGTGCCTAACTTTAGCCAATTTCAGAGGTTGGTAAGCATGCTTTGGGGAAAAGAAAGGTTAGTTATTATCAAACCTGCTGGGAATAATTTGTTTCTGCTGCA